GTCTGTGAGTCAGACTTTCACAGAAGCCTGATGATGGCAGATGAGATTCTGCTGAAACGTTGCTACAACTTTAAAAGCACCATTATGACGTGGGAAAATACCCGAACAAAGCTGAAGGCCATACATGTAAGTACCCGCGAAAACTTAAGAAAATATATATATATATATATAATGTTTAGGGTGTGTGTGTGTGTGTGTGTGTGTGTGTGTGTAATCAGAGTTCCCATTTTAGGAGATGATTTATCATCATCCCCTTTTAAAATCAAATATAAGTTGTTGCTTTCTAAAAATCTGCTGCGATTTTGTAATTGTACATCAGTGACTAAAGGGCTGCTTTAGCATACCAATAATTAAAACCTTTAAACAATATAATTTAACAAGGGAGGGGGAAAGGAATTATCCATTAAAATAAAGAATTACAGGCGTGGGGGAAATCTTCACAAAATTTTGTTGTTTCTGTTGTTTAAAATAGGATGATGGTAAATTCAGGAAAGACTCATGTTATAAACTCATGTCTATAACAGCCATATCAGTTTCTATGATGGTTTCTTTTCCTAAATAAGATACATCCATAATTGCTGATAATTGTTTTTCAGATCAGAACTCAATATTTTTGCAACTTCATAATACAGGGGCAACTATAATAAAATCTAAATAAATGTTCATACATAAATGTGAAATATACTTCCTGTAGGTCAGTGCATACAACATACACATTAATCTTATTTAAAAAACTTATCCCGATTTGATAATTTCAGAATAGTAAAGTCTAAATATGAATCTGAACAAATTTCAGAACAAACACCAGTCTGATTTATTAAAAAGACAGCAGGTATTCTTTCTAATTCACTTTAGCATGCTATGTGTGTGATTTCAAATAAAATCCTCACTTGAGGGTTCATCCAATTCTTTTGATTCGCCTTCAAGAACTTTCCCCAGATAGGAAGAGTATCTAAAAGCAACATACTGCTGTGTTTTTGTTTTGTTCCTTTTGGGTGGAATTGGAAATTCAAGAGAACCTTGGGGAATTAAAAGGGCAGAAAAACCATTTAAGGTAGGTATTGCTTAGATTTTGACCATTACCTCTTCTAGTATATTTGTTAGCTTTCTCAAACAAATGTACCACGGCAGGAACTAACATGTACTTTCTTTTTCTTTTAAAGAACTCCTGCTAATAGAGGCCAACTTGGATTTTCCGACCCTGGGGGATGCGCCCTTTGCCAGCTGGACAAGCTGAACCCATGAGCTGTCCAGGGTCTTGATTTCCCGCTTTCTCTTCCTTTTTCGAAAATGGCAGTTGCTTATCCACGAAGTGTGTTTCGCCAGAGGATATTTTTTCACCCACCACCCTACTCAATTTAGCCTGCCTGATTAAACCCAGCCAAATCGATAAAATCACCTTTGTTCGTCAGGGCTTTCGGCTGTTACCTGGCTCCAGCTTGGCAAACAGGTACCACCAGACTTTTCTTTCAAACTGGTTGCCTCCGTAACTCGCTTTGGCACTCAAGGCCCAAGCATTTGACTCCCTTTTCAGTGAACCGTGCACTTTTTGGAGCAAAATATGAGTCTTCTGTGTATATTTTCCTATACGGCTATTACATTATAGTGTTGTGTCAATGAGTTTTGTTTATTTGTTTCCTAGTTTGGAAAAAAAGAGAGAGCACGTCCTATTTTTTTCGAACCAAATTAACTTTTCACAAAAGGTTGGAGAGATACGGTTCTTCTTGTCTGCTGCGGATCGTAAATCACTCGATATAAGACAGGCTTCCTCTTTCCAATAGCTGTAAGCTATTATAGGAAGGGAGAGGAGAAGGAGAATCCCCTCTTCTCTCTCCCACCCCCCCTTTCGCTCGTTCATTCTCGCAGGTGCAATATGAATCAATTATCTTAATTAAGATAATGCCGCAAACCCAAGAGATTTCCTTGGGATGGATTTTGCACTCCGGACAACCGTAAGGCATTTTAATCGCCTCTCTAACGCTTCCCGCCCCGCCTTTTCGCTTGATTCCTACGAAGGAGTGATTTGGTGTTCGGGCACCAAAGATTTAGCTCTCCCCAGTTCCTTAAGAGCAAACCAAAGCTTCGCGCGCAGCTAGCCTCCGCTGCCTTCCGCCGAACAGAATTTGTAAAGGAAAATACGTATACAAATTCTGCTTTCGTCCTTTTACCTACAGCGTTTATTAGGCGCTGCTCGAGCTTTTAACTATTCCGCGCGGGTTCCTATTCGGACTTCGAACTACTACAGGCGTTGGACTTGCCCTAAAGGAGGCGGTTAAAAGTCACCGAAAAGCAGGTGGGCGAAGGGATGAGGAAGCGCCCTTCTGTTAAAATGGAACAAACGCGTGTCTGTCTGTGGGGATCCTGAGGCTTTAGCAATTACCTGAGGCCGGGAGGGACTCGCTGTGCCAATCCCTCCCGGCCTCCCGAAGCTTCCCCCGTCCCTCTGGCCGTTGCTTCTCGCATGGGGCAAAGAGCTGTACGCGGCAGATGAGCTGCAAGCGGGCAGTCGGAGGGAGAGCGGATTTGGGACGCGGCAGAAGGGGCGGTGAGCCGTGAAAGAGGCTTTTGTTGAGGACGCGTGTAGCTCGCGTGGCGCTCGGTGGGCGCGCGTCCTGGAAAGGAAACGGGCGGAGGGAGAGGGGGGGAATGGCTGCGGGAAAAGTCTGGGGTGCCTGTTATATATGCAAGAATGGTCTCGGGAAGGAGGGAGGGGGAGGAGGCAGGCACAGAAGGTTCCCAGGGAAAGGGGCTGCGGGATACCGGTGTGCCTGGCCCGCCCTCCAGGTAGTTTACTTAGAAATTAGTCTTGTCGTCCCCCGTCCCCCCCTCCCGTCTCTGGTCTATGACTGTAATAAGCTGATTGATTGACAGCTCCCCCCCCCAAAAAAAAAAACTTTCTTCTAAGCAAATCTTGAGTTTAAAAGCTAGGCTCGGTTGCGGGAGAGGGGAGAGCTATTTGAAGCTAGTGAATGAAAAGCTGATTGCGGGAGTGAATTTCCACACTAGCTATTTTTGGCGTCATTTAACCTTCAGCGCGATGATATAAACGTGGGCAGCAAGTTGTTGAGGGCTGCTGTACAATCTGGTGTTATTTTACAAAACATACTCGAGAGATACAAATGGAAATGGGATTAAAAACCGACAGACTAGGGTTGATTTTCTGGTGATTTTGGGAATGAATAAGGCAGAAGAATAAGGGAGAATTAGAGCCCTCCCATCAGCTTCTTCTCCTTATCAGTGTGGGGTGAGGTGCGGATTGTAAACAGCACCTTTAAGTAATGATGTCTGTATCTTTTCCAACACTGTTAGTGAAGCCCCCCCCCAAAAAAGCCCCCAGAATTAAATGATCTGAAACCTGATGTACAGCAAAGGCAAGAATCCAGATGTCAGTCTCTGGTGGGGCTCGGAGATGACTGCGCTAATGTGTAGAGCTTCCTAGACGTTCACCCCCTGCCAAATTGTGACTAGGTCAGGGGTTAGAATACAAAACACCTGGAAGCTGGAAACCTTTGTCTAAAGGGCAGGAAAAGCTCCCTTAGCAACTCCTTGCCTTCTCTTCCCTTGTCCTGAAGAGGATTTGGTGGACGTCGATTTTCTCTATCTCCCCTCTTTCTCAGGGGGACGGGGTGGGCATGAAAGACTGCATTCAGACGGCCACCCTGGCCACAGTTAGAGTGGAACTGGTGGCTGTGTGGTGTGAGAGCATTAAGGGAGGGAGGAGGAATGAGGGGTCGTTTGCATCTCCGCCTGCATACATACGAAAGTGGCACTTTTCATGGGGTCTATGTAGTTTTATTGGGTGACCCACAGCAAGACCTGGACTGACGGACATTGGCTTGCCTGCAGCCACAGGAAAGCAGCCATTCGGGCCTTGTAAAGTACCACAGAGTAGCTGAGTGGACAATGGAGCAAACCCCCTAAATTAACCTTTCTTTGGAGAAAGTACACACTATGAAAGAATCCAGTGGTCTTTCTTTCTTTCTTTCTTTCTTTCTTTCTTTCTTTCTTTCTTTCTTTCTTTCTTTCTTTCTTTCTTTCTTTCTTTCTTTCTTTCTTTCTTCCTTCCTTCCTTCCTTCCTTCCTTCCTTCCAAACGTCGACAAGCATCCCGAATATAGTCAGTTTACTAAATTGTTCTTGTTCAGTATGTTTTCGTTGTTAAAAGAACCAGTCTTTCTATTAAAAACAAAAACATATTGAACAAGGACTTTGTACTTCGCAACTTTGTCTCTTGATAGTTATAAAATTAATTGTACTTTTAAAAATAGGTTATTTTGTTTTTCTGAAAACCCCGCCCCCCATCATTTTCTGCAAAACTGTCCCCTAAATAAATCTCCTGAAATAGAAATCTTAGGTCTCCTACTTGTTCAAAAACATTTTGCTTCTTCTTATGTTTCCTGGTTTGCTCCTTCTTTGGGGCTTAACTTTGGGGGTGAAGACTGGCGAACTGCTCGATCGCAAAAATGGGTT